CCAAAAATGAAAATGCGAGCATGGCGATTTGATCCAGCGAACGATTTTTTTTTTTGGCGATGGAAACAAAGCGGGAGTGAGCGAGGGAGCAATGCTTAATGGGCCGCAGCCCACTGCCATTCGTGTGACCGCCCGATCTCCTAACTGACGCTGAAGGCGGCGATTAGGAGGTCCCTACAGTAGGGGTCTGGTTCAGGGGGCACCAATAGGCCAGGACAGCAACGGCCGAGATGATAGAGGCCCATCTCTAAAGGACACATGCCTAGTTGTATTGCATGGAGATTCTCAATAAAATTGCATGGAAAAATTAAGGACCCTAAAAACTAGGGGCCCTGTGCGGGCTCACAGGTTGCAACGCCATGGGCCTGGGCTTGCCGATGACAGCGGCATGACCAGCATGGACGACGATGACACTCCTCCGGCCGTGAACGCCTATGCGGAGGACAACTACCGCCGCTCCGGTGACCGCAAGGACAAGGGTCTAGCGCATAAATGGTGAAGTCTGGCGCCCTCCGTTTATTTCTAGTATCTATCTAGTTTAGCTATGTAGTGTCTAGTGATGAATTATCTCTTTTGGTCTGGTTGTACATGTCTGGTGATGAACTTTTGTTGCTATGTCCCTGAATTTTAGCTATGTTTGTTTTTGTCTACGATTGATATGTTGACGATCTATGTAGTTTATCTCATGTTGCATGCGTTGCATGGATTTGGGGTGCCCGGTGTGAGGAGGACGGCTGTGAACGCTAAGAAGTGAGGGATGACCAGTCACTGTCCCCGGATCCGTCCGGCCGCATCCGTGGACGTATAGGGTATCAAACTTGTGAAATCCGGCTGTAGATGCTATTTGGATGATTCATCACGCATGGAAGATCCGTGCCAAACTTGCAGTACAATTTTAAAAATGGTTGAACCGATACAAACAACACATACTCGGACTACTCACAAATGAACTGCTCTTTGGAAGCCGCATGTTTTGGTAATCTAGGTTCTTGTACAGATTTCAGAGTTTGTTCAATGGTTCCGGGGTCCATGAGAAAAGAAGATTAATTTCAGAGGTCATATGCTCGTGCCACATTGCATCACAATTAATTGCTGAAAGTTTCGTCTGAGCATGATGCTGTGTGTTGCCATTGTCTGATGAAACATCAGACAGCCGTCAGGAAAAACAGATGAACTGATGCGGCTACTGCTGCTGGTGACTTTGGGCGAGGAGACAATGCAATGTTACTCCAGCTCCAAGTGAAAGTGGAAGCATCTTTACCGTTTTCACCTTACGACGGTGCTCATGACCACCTTTACGAGTAAAAGATTTTCCCTAGATCGATGCACTTGTTGATGTTCCCCTCACAAGTGGTCGTTGCATCATTGCATCTCTGGGAATTTCTGCACTGGAACCGGATAGCATGTGGTAGAAACAAAACATTCAACCGCCGCATTATTGCGTGCCCAGCTGCTTGCATCTGTATCTACCCATAGGCAAACACGTGCATGCCCCGGCCTCAAGAACTCACCTAGACTATAGTTGCAACTTGCAAGTCGGAAGTCTCTTCTGTATCTGTATCTGTATCTGTATCTCGTGTTTTGGTTGAGATCAACAGACAAACAAAGGCCATAGGAACACGTCCCTTGTTTCCACAAGGTCCAGAAGTGCCAGAAGGAAACCCATGGCCATGGGTGGGTGTGTTGGTTGAGAATAAAATGCAGAGGAGGCAGTTCACAGTACTGGTGCGTTTGTTATGAACTAAGACCATCAGAGGACAGGTCAACAAGAAGAGATCACGCTGACACGCACGCCTAAACAATTACGGTATGTTCCATTTGCAATTCTGCATGCATGATTCCGCCCATGGAACCATGCATGCAGCGAGAGTGTGAGCTAGACAAAAAAAAAGTGTGAGCTAGACATGTCACTTGATTAGTCTATGGGGTTCACCAACTAAACCCAACTTTAACCAAAGTACGGACGAGGCTCCTCTGACGTACTGCAGGGAGCAGTTGGGCCACTGACGTGTGGGCCCAGAAGCAGGTTGGCCTATCTGTCAATGAGCCAACTGCACCCTGCAGTACGTCAGGGGAGCTGAGTCCCCAAAGTACATATACCAAGCTGACTTGTGCAACAAACAGTTGAGAATATTAATATGAGCCTCCTTTTGGGTCACCTCCATTGACCAAATCTGCAGATAAATGATTATGGTTTTGTCACATTCCAGACCAGACCAAACCAAACCCTCTGGTGTAGGGAGAGTTGGTAATGGAGTTGACAGGTCTCGGGCACCTTTTTTTAACAGTGTTTCCTTGTGCCAAAATAGCTATAGGCCCCAGGCGTGGATGCGTTGACGTGTTGTCAATTCAAACCATGTGGGAACTCCAGGATTGATCATCGGATTAGCTTTTGATCCATCGTGTGGTACGCTGTCAAGTTGCTATACGTTGGTGAGAAATGTTGCAATAGAGAAAGGCAGCTGAGATCATCTTAATTTGCTCATGCCTCACAGGAACCATCTTGATTGGTCCTAATCTTGGGTATCATCCTGAAAAGCGGTGCCTTGTAAGTGAAATGAACGACGACGCCGGTATTGTGGTTGGGCCAACTCCAGCTACAACACAGGGGAAACCGTGCGCATCATACACGGATGTACATACAGACAGGAAGACCAATCAACTAAAAACAAGACAGGAGGGTCAAGTACGAAATGCGCCGCTAGTCCATCAACTCAAACCAATTGCACGTTTCAGGCCACGAACTCGCTAAATGAACGATTTAGGCCATAAACCCATTAATATGATCTGATCAAACAAGGCCAAAACCGATTCGGGGGAAGAAGAATAACGGCCACGTGGCTGCCACGTCAACATGCATTTGACAGTCGACGCTTGTGGTAATACATAGAAGGTCTCCTTTACAAACTTCCTTTTGCACTCCATTGGAAAAAAGGTTGCCACCGCTCCCCCAGGAGCACACATAGCTCCGCTACTAAACCCATGCCATTACAACACTAAACAATTTCCGTCGAATTTAGCAAAGTAGTGATCTAAACGCTCTTATATTGCTCTTGTATATGTTCCATGGGAGCAAAAGCATATACAAGCTTACTCTGCAAAGTAACATAAGAGTGTTTAGATCACTAAAGTAGTGATCTAAACGCTCTTATATTTCTTTACCGTGGGAGTACTGATGCTAATGCTTGTGATCTGAGGTTGTAACTTTTAGAGTAAGTATAAACACAGTCTTAATACTGAAACCAAGTGAAAGCACAAGTATTTGCTGGGAAATTAAGGGTGGTTCTATTCAGTAGTGGCGGAAACGTGTGCAGGCCGTTAGTTAACCTGCTGCCTGGCTACGTCCTAGGTAAGGGGGTTAGTGGTGGGCCACCTACACTACTACAAGCAGGGGATCCATCCGCGATCCCCTCGCTTCTTCGAGTAGAGAGAATCTTTCTTTCAAGCTAATTAACTGATGGGATGGATGGCACGATTAGCAGGCCATCAGAGCAGGTCACTAGCAGGCTAGAGATATCACTGTCTTCCTAACCATTCAACCATCGTTGGCTCGCCTGTGTTCATCTAGCTGCACAGGAAACAAACTTGCGCCTTGCGATCTCAGGTCAGCAGGTGTCGTCGGTAAAAAGGAAAAAATCAGTACAACAGTTTACATTTGACAGGACCAGGCACTGCCATTGCTTGGTGTGAAATGAAATGACCATGGCCAGAGGGCAGTACTAGTACATAGTTGCAACTGTATTTAAACTCATGAGTAACACACACACACTCTCTGAAGATCCGAAGAAACCTTGTGAGTAATAATGTCATGAGTTTACTTCTCCATTCTTACTTGGACCGCTCTGACTTGTTCTCAGCTCCAATACAATCACAAACGGGTTGAAAATAAACGAAAGAGAGAGAAAGAGGGAGCCCTGGAAGAAAGCAGCGTGGAAAGCTTTTGGAAAGTGACGAAGGGATGGCAGCACTAGAGAAGAGCAGCAGGAGTATCAGTGAAGTTGTTGTGAGGTGAGGTGATGCACTGACAGACAGACAGACAGATGCATGTACCTATTCCCCTTCCTCTCCTCCTCCTAGTCCTTGCCTTGCGTTTCCTCTCTTCTCTTCCAATTTAAATCCCAGGAGAAGCAAAGAAAGAGGAGGAGGTGACTGAGTGTGTTTCTTTCTCCATTGCGCTTCCCTTCTCCTTCCCTTGGCTTGGCCTCCAGTCTTTTCTTACATCCCCCTCCACTCCATCTCTTGCTTCCCAAACCTGGCTTAACCTCTCCTCCTTCACTTGCCTTGGCCATTAACCACGCCCCAAATCCAACCTTCAAAGCTTTCCTCCTCCCCCTGCTGCCGTCTTGGTGATAACTAACCTCCGCAAGGTAAACATTTCTTCTACTGCTCATTTTCGTTGGGTTCTGCTGCTCATTTCTGATATAAGCCATATTCAGTCAGACCACTGAAACCTCCAAGCCATCTTCATTCAGTTCTTGATTTCTCCCTGCTCTGCTCTTCTCTAGGTGAGTTTTCTTGGGTTTGGCTCTCGATCGATTGTCTCTCCCCTTGCTCGGTGGTGTATTCTTTTCTGCTCCAAAGAATAATAATATTAAAGCTGTCTACAGCGCTGTGATGCGATGAATGTTTTATGCATATGCACGCCACACGACAGTCGCCTTCCCTTGCGTTTCCCGTCCAAAAGTTTCAGAAAATTTGTCCCCTTCTTGCTCTCGATGCCGATGCTGCCTGCCAGTGATTCCAGCTGCTTCAGATTAACAGAAAAAATGGCTTTGTTAACTCCCAGTTCCTTGCGGTTATCAATCACTTTAATCACACTCGCAGCCGGCGGTTGGGGCCTGCAAGTTCCTCACAGAATAAATACAAGAAGCACCAGCAGTTGCATATTCGCATTGCATTCCCCCGCTCGGCAAGCCTGCAACTGCATGCCCGAGACAGACAGAGTCTAAAGGCCGCCATGGATGATTATACCTGCGTCTGCGTGCGTGCTTGCAGGGCCCATGGGTGAACACCTCGCGCTGCTGGTGGACCGGCTGCTCACGGAGTCCACGCTGGAGGCGGCCATCGTCAGCAGGAAGCAGGCTGAGCCGGAGGACACGCCGGCGGCGATCGTCTACTGCTGTGACATCGCCGCCGCTACCGGCGACCCGAGCAAGATGGTGGAGTGCAGGATCTGCCAGGAGGAGGACTGGGACACCGGCATGGAGGCCCCCTGCGCCTGCCGCGGCAGCCTCAAGGTAACGAAACACAGCAATGTTCAGAACGTCTGAATTTTCTCTTTATTTTGGGTGGAATTTTGCAGTAATTTAATTTCGTTGGCAAACAAGAATTTTGATTCAGAAATGCTGCATAAGTTTCTCCATATGGGGAATTTGATATTTTTTAGTACGAGATGGAGTAGCTAATCGGTGTTTCTGATCTTAATTTTGGGTGCCTAGTTTGGTTTCCAGTACGTAATACGATACTAGTGGAGTGTAGGTTTGACTTGCGATGAGGAATTTTTGTTATTTTTGGTTGGGGTTAGATGCAGTAGGTTGTGTCTAATTAAAGTATCAGGAAAGCTCAGTGACAGATTTGATGATGAAATCAACCTTGTTTGCCTCAATGTAGCTTGCAAGGCAATGCGGCAATGCCTAATGCTGGCCTTCCTCTTTGGATTGTGACATAAATAGACATGTAGTGCTGAAAAGTAGAAATGAGTGTGGTTTTGACTTGCCATGAAGAAGTGTTGATATTTGTTATGGTTGGGGTTAGATGCAGTAGGTTCTATATTAGTTAAGTATTATGTGAAAAGGGTCAGCAATCTCAGGATAAAATCCACTATGTTTGCCTAAATTGTAGCTTGGAAGGTAGTAGTGCCTAATGTTGGCCTTCCTTTTTGGACTGTGACATGTATATATAGTGTGTGCAAAACATGATATTAAAAAAACTTTTTTGTAAATAATAATGCAAAATAAGTGTAGGTGTTTTGCTTTCCCAAAGTTGGAAGCAAGGGAGAGAGCTATATTTAGATCATCATCACACAATGCGTGAGACAACTACCTACACAATGTTCCACGGAGGGTCAAATGTAGCTGAAACTTTTAAGAAACATTCTGGCCCTTTGTCCTTTTTGATGATCCATTATCATCATGATAGAGATATGCTTGGAATGTACTAAGAAGACACTGTATTTCGGTCGATTACACCGGTGGAGTACATAGTATTAAACTATTACCCTTTTTTTCCTTCTTGCAGTATGCCCATCGAAAATGCATCCAGCGTTGGTGCAACGAGAAGGGCGACACCATCTGCGAAATATGCTTGCAGGTAAAAAACAAACAAAAATTGCCTATCTACGCGGTCAATGTTATTTTTGTTTTGTTTTGTTTTGTTGAAAAAACAGATAAACATGTGTACCTTTATGTAGTCTCATGAACTCTCTATTTCTACAGCAATTCAGGCCAGGCTACACTGCCCCACAGCAGCTGTTCCACTATGGAAGCATACCAATGAACTTCAGGCAGGCAGCCATTTCACAAGCTTTTTCCTGATGCAAACCATGGTGATCTCTGTTTGTAAAACGTCTCTCGTGTCCACAGGGGGAACTGGGAGGTTGCGCGGCACGATCTCCACGACTCTCAGGTCATAACAATGGTGCCCTCGGAGCGCGACTTCATGGACGAGTACGACGACTACTTTCCAGTCAGGACGAGGAGCAGCGCCCTGTGTTGCCGGACAGTCGCTATCATTGTGAGTTCATCAGAATAGGCTGTGTTTGGATCAATGAAGGGCTTTCTAATTAACAGCTAGCTATGTCATTGTGATCCAACAGTTCCTGGCCCTCCTGGTTCTCCGGCACACTCTTCCTCTCATGGTCGGCGGCGACGGGGAGTACTCGTTTGCTCTGTTTTTGGTAAGATCTATGGCTAACATTTGCGTCCATTACATCACACAACACCAGAATCTTCAGACTCTTCTTTAACAAAGTCTGGTCTTGTTCTTGCCTAGCCTCTGATCTTGAATTTTACCATTTTATGGGGACGAAAAAAAAGCAGCTTCTTGTGCTGAGGACAGCTGGGATTCTGTTCCCAATCTTGGTGATGGTGAGAGCAATGGCAACCTTCCATCGTCGTCGTCGCCAACAGGTAATCCCATCCCTGAATGACCAGCCATTGTTGGGTTTGGAACCTGGTTCGGTGTAGTGATCCTGATACCAGTCAGCAGCAGAACACTGATACCAGTTTCACTTGCACTGCAGAGTTCTGCGTATACTATTTTCTGATGCGTAACTCTGGGGTCTAGATCACTTGATACTGCAGGGAAACCAGGGAACTTACATGTTCTTCTCGGACACCGACGACGATGATGACGGGGAGGAAGAAGAAGAGGATGCCGACGCCGATCCTGCGCTGCCTCGCTACCAACCACGCCTTATCCCCGTCTACTGACACCATACAAATCGGTGCGGCGTCGGTGTGGTTAACAGAAGCAAAAATCCCAAGAAACAGGGGAAAAGATACTAATGTAGTAGGATAGTCTGAAGCCACTCGCTTCTGTGTGCACAAGAAATAGGAGATTGTAGTGTCTCTGTACATACCACAAGACTGACCCAGACGATGTAACTTGTGAGCTTCTCTAGCTCTCCCATGTACTCGAGAGATTACCTGAAATTACTTGCAAAATGCATGGAATTACAGGCCTGTATCTGAACCTGTGATCCTGCAACTCATGCTTGATCTACAGTTCTTTGATTTGTCTTACTGACATGTGCATTGACTATTGATCAGTTTTCTGAGCATACAAATTTCTGTACATCTGTTTGCAACATTTGCTTGATAAGCTTTAAAACAGTACAGTAACGCAGTATATCCAGCCATAACAAAGCACCACACTAGCGAATAACGTATCCGACAAGGTAAATTATCATCCATAGAAGAGCAGCTGTCCTGGGGTACATTGTTACTCACAGGTCTGATAAGTTAGGGGCAGAGAGGGGGGATGGATACATATACATATATTTCATGTATGCAGGAAAGCAACGGTGGCGATGCAAACACCATCGACGTTTGGGTAAGCTTGGACGTGGTCGAGGTACTTGAACACCACGGCATCGCTGGCAAGAGCTCCTTCAGAGACCATAGCGCCCAACTTTCTCTGGTTGAAGTTCTCCACCTCCTGCACTAGCTCATCCTTGGTCCTGCTGCAGGATGTGATGACCTACACATATGCACAGGTAACATCAGAGGGTAATCCATTGATTTGCACGCAGTCATCTTTCTCAATTGTTAATTTTACTGTGAATATACTGCTAACAAATGCAACGGAAGTACTGACCAGTATGCCACCAGGGGAAACCAAGCTGGCCACTGACTGCCAATACATCATTCTGAAATGCAGTACCGGAAACAAATTAATACATGGAAGCAATCAAGTGATCCCATCCTTTTGTCAAAATAAATTCAGGAAATCCAAAGTGTTAAACCACAGCTATGAAGATTTATAATAATATCACTCATACGGATTAAGGTACATCTGAACACCTAAACATGCATTTACCTCTTTACAGGTCCATCAGGGTGGAGCCCTATTGCATCCAGAGTCCCTTCATCCATCACAAGTTCAAATCTCCTCTCCAACTTCGACTCCAGAACATCATCAACCTGCAAACATAAAAAGGTTCATAAATCAGAAAGGGTTCTTTCTTCATCTTTCAAATACGGGGACAGTATGTTCAACATTACATACTGAAGCACAAGAAGGCGCAAAAATGTGGAAATGAAATACGATCATGTAATGTGAACGTCTAATGCTCCACCAAGCAACTCACCAGGAAATTAATGTGCTCAAATCCATCACGAATTGCAAGGTTTCGAGCAAGCTCAATTGCGGCTTCACTATAGTCAATGCCAGTTAGATCAGAAAACCTGTATATTTACATAACAAATCAGTACTGCCAAGAGGTGTTAATAATGAGACAGGCATAATGCATAAAGGAATTTCTCTTATGTACGAAAACCAACTAACACCAAGACGCCTTTCGAAAGGAACAGGATACTGCCAGGTGCCAGCATAATCTTCCTCAAAGCATAAAAGCAGTATCGTATGACTATTTCAAAGTATATTACATGCTGTTTTAAAAGACAGCTCCATTATGATAATTGAGAATCATATGATGCTCCATATCTTTTAACATGTCATACATAGACAAGATGAATAAATAGGGACCACCTACCATTAACTTGCCACTAATTGCGACAATCACATAGGCATCCAAATCTCAGTATTCTCATAAAAACATGGGAAGAAATAAAATTTAACCGCAACCATCTAATCCATAAAATGTCGTGAGATGTCTCACAAACATGTGGATCCTGGGGCCACCAATCAGTAAGACATCCAGAGCCATTTTGTGTAATCTTCCTAAAATCGTATGCTTTGTTTATGTAGGGCATACAAATCCAGGACCAAAAAGATAATCGATCTAGTAAACATTATGAAAAGCAATTCATCGCCAGAGTACTGAAGTTGACAACAGTAATATTCATGTCAAGATTACGTTTGGGAAATGGAAACCAACAAGTTAGTCAGTGTCCTGTTTCCACAGCATACCCTTGTTTTGCAAGCTGCTGTAAGAGTCGTCCGCTCCCGGTTCCTATGTCAAGTACACTGCAGCCGGGCAAATCCTTGCTGAAGCATAAGTTTTTCGTCCAGCCTACAAGGACATCCATGGCCTCGGTGCCAAACCTGCAACAGATGCCAACCAGACAGTCATTTCACTCTGAAATCTTCAAGTAAGTGATGCTCTACAGAATCCCCGACTATAGATAGCTGCAAGAAACAGCTCGTCTGTCCAAAACAGTGAACAGGCAGAGAAAAAGGACAACGCTATGAGTTGTGATATTCATTTGGCCAATGGGCGGTGTACACAAGCTTATATCAGCCAAACTACAATAGAAAACAATGCTTGCCCATATTTGCTGATATCAGACCCCGTTGCTTTATTTTCAAATATTTTCCCACGAGAAGGCAAATCTGAGAAAGGCAAGAAACAGCTGGCTTCCAAAATAGTTATCAGACAGAGGAAAAGGATAACACGATCAGTTGCGATTTTCATTTAGCCAACAGGCAGCGTACACCATCTTATACCAGCCAAACTCCAAATAGATAACCATATTAGCCCATAATTCCTGATACCAGATCTCATTGCTCCGATTCTAAAATACTTTTCTCACAAGAAAGGCAAGTCTAAGCGCATGTGTCACGTTTGTTTTACATTTATTAAGCGGCAGCATAGTACCTTGATTGCGCTCCTTACTGCTCTTCCCATGATGCTAACAAATCTAAAAATCTAATAAATGTTCATGATCCCATCAATTAAGATTCAACATCAGGTTGATTGTGCTCCTTACTGGTATTGTCATGGTACTAACTAAGCTACAACCTAAATGCTCATGATTCCATTTATTAAGATTCAACATCCGGTCGTGCAGAAAATGTGTTGCTCTAGCTAAATCTTAGCGCATGTAGACAAGTTCAGTAAAAGCAGTAAGTAGAAATCTTACCAGTCGTCCGCGTGGCTGCGTTCATGGTAATTAGCTAGGTCTTCAGCGTACGCGCCGTCCTGGTAATTGTGCAGGCCCAGCATCGGCGGCACGACGTCGGGCACATCCTTGTCAAAGCTGCTCAAGATCAACAACACGAGACAATTTCGATCCACTCAGCAGACAGGCTAAAAAATTGTGTAGTTCCGGAGGGGGCAGAATGCAATTGTGTGGGGGAGATCGATCGATGGATCGGTGGACTCCCCCAAATCACAGAGACGAAAGGAATCAGATCGCAGCGGATCCCTGGGCGGGCTGACCTGAAGTCGGAGGAGTGGTGGGCGCTGAGGGAGGAGGAGCAGGCGGAGGGCGCGGCGGCGGAGGCCGCGGAGGAGGAGGAGGCGAGGAGCACCTCGGCGGTGTCGGCGTAGCGCTGCTCGTCGTCGAGGGTGCTGCCGTAGTCGCTCTTGATGGACCACGAGTCGGCCGCCACGGAGCGGTCGTCGTCCGACGCCATCTCGCCGGGCGGGCCGGGGGGGCCTCCCCCTCCCCCGGCGGCCGCGGCGGGGGGCCCGCCCCAGACCCCGGTCCCGAGCATCCGCGTCGGGAACATCTCCGGGTCCTCCGGCGGCCACCGTATCCCCGCCATGCCCGTCGCCCGCCCGCTCGCCGGAGATGGACGCCGGAACGAGCTAACCCTAGCTCGCCGGTGTGGTGCGGTGCGGTGCGTGTCGGTCGGGGTGGAGGGAGGGAGGGAGGGAAGAGTCGCGTGCGTGCGTGCGTGCGTCTGGGTCCGAGACGGAGGGAGGGAGAGGGCTGGCCCGCGTGTCGGTGTGGGAGCTGGGCGGAATGGGGCGCGTGGTGGCGGGGCTGGGAGGCTGGGGGTGGGTCGCTGACGTGTGGGCCCGACGGTGAGGTGGGCCGTGTGGCAGTGACGTTTGGGTGGGATCGGTGAGGGTGGAGGGCTTGTCCTTTGCGGGAGACGTACGGGAGTTGAATGGGACGGAGTGGAAGGCCGTTGGTCGTTGGGGAACGGACTGGGCTTTTGGCATGGGTAATGTGATCACCCATGAGTACTAGACTAGACTGTCAAAAAACTAGACTAGACTGTCAAAGAAAAAACTAGTATACTAGTACATATGAAAAATCCAGATAGCCATAAAAAAATATGAAAAATCAAGATTCTAAAAAAAAATATGGAGAATCCTGAAGAAAAAAACTATATGAAAAAACATCCCTCAAAAGATAATGAAAATGTTACACCAACCCAAACTAAAATAGCTTTTAAGGGGTACCCTAATACTTCTTGGCCCCTCAACTTTGCCCCAAAGCTCTAGCTCTCGATTCTCAAATTTTACTGACACGTGAGGCACAATCATTAGTGACCATGTTTCCTTTTTTTTCCTTTGTATTCCCTGAGTCCCTTGCAATGCACGGATAGGGAACCGGGGAGGCGATTCTCCTCCTCGAGCTCACGGAGGAAGTACTCCTCCTCAGGGTGGGTGGGGATGCGGGAGTTCTGCATGAAGGGGCGACGACACGAGTGGAGTGGCTGTGGGAGGGAGCGATGTGTCCTGAGAGATCCAGGCGACAATAGTGTTGTCGCGCGGAGAGAGGCAACAAACATGGATGTTGTGAGAGGGGAGAATGCGCCACGACGGAGCATGCCAGTGACACCGCCATCACGTGGGCCATTTGTGAGGGAGGGCGCGCAGGGCGAAAGTTATTCTCAACAGTGTCATCAGTGGATGGATGGGGGGTTATAGTGTGGGGGGCTTAACACTTTGAGGTGGGGTGGGGTCAGGATGGGAATGGGTCGGGTCGGGTCGGCCCGCCGGGTCGCTGACCCAACCCATAAATTCAAGGCCAATGGGTCCCGTGGGTGGGTCTCAAACGAGATTTGGGTCAACAGAGCTGGCATCAGGTGAATCGTTGGGTCCGCCGGGTCGGCCCACCCAATAGTCTTATATCTCACAACAGTTGCAATCTTGGGCATGCCAGTGTCGTCGTAGGACCCGATTTTGCGATGCAATCTTTTTGTATAATTTTGGGCAAATGCTCGCGTATATGAATAATAAAATTGTCTTGATATGTTTCGGCAAGATGCGCACGTACAAAAGCATAAGTAGACGGCTTAATTTCTTTCTATCAACCACGTATTAGAAATCTTATTAATTTTTACACTAGTCGGATTTCATTAAACCTTGCCTAATTTTAACATCTCATTTGTGGACAAGTCCATGTAAAGTAGGATTTTTAGTTGGCCCAAAATACCCATCGAGCTAATAAAGGTCATTGACTACTCTTTATATGAGTCGACGTGTGGCCTATGAAATTGGCCTTGTGGCGGCCGGGTCCAAGGCCAGGTCCGGACCGGCCCATTCCCATTGTGAGGTGGGCGGCTCCCGTTTTCGAGACCCCGGGAGATAAATCATAGCACCGTTTAGCAAAAGGTATGGACGATGTAGTTCACGAAAGATCCGATGATGTTGGGATGGTCACTCTAGACGCACTATGCCAGACCAACACAGTATCGGATGAAATATACTCCCTCCGTTCCGAAATAAGTGATTCGATTTTTTCTTAACTTTAGCACAAAATTAGTACAAAATTAAGTCACTTATAGCAAAATTAGTACGAAATTGAGTCACTTATTTTGAGACGGAGGAAGTACTTTATAATATACAAATACAAATTATATCCGCTTGGCGTATTATTTTTTACAAATTGATAGTCCGAGTTTCACTTTAATGACCATGTCAATATAGGATACAACCTACAGTTGAGACCAAATCAAATGGATTTTCACAGCTCAACGATACCAACACCAAGATTTGGATTTTGGACTGATAAAAGTGAGGACACAAGGAGAGGCTCTTAAGTTTTAAAAGGAATCAAGAGTCTGTCTATAGCTGGAATTTGATCACGTCAGTGGACTTTGTGATTTAACAAATCCCCACTTAAAAACTTGATTAAGGAAGGACAGGGTGCATGCATGATGCATTAATCCGAATATTATCTTTGGTATATCTCATTGTTTGCATCCACACAAGCCAACATGGACTAAAATAAGGCTTGCTCCGTCTGTTGTTTAGCTTGGCAAGTAGCATGTCCAGCTGAGGTCCAGTGCACAAAGATATCCTTCCTCCAAATGCAAAGTAGCATCCAGCTCCTCCCTACAACCTGTGTGCCGCCTGCTCTGCCAACCAATCATAGCACACAGGATGATAATGGGCTCAAATATTTTTGAGATCATTCTCACAATTTTATTGCGCACCCCTAAAAAACTAATAAAAAATACAGTTAAACATGGAGCATTCTTGACATAATTATTTTGATTAAGGTCTCAGGATCTTTTTTATTGTACTCCCTCCATCCGAAAAAACTTGTCCCAAACTTGTTTGTCAAATGGTATCTAGCACCAAATTAGTGCTTTTTCGGACGAAGGGGGTATATACCAGAGGTATGTAGATTGTAGAATGGATGGGAAAACGATTTGTCAATTTGACAAAGGCCAAAAGAATGTAGAGCACTTTACAGAAAAGAGAAAAAAGAAATGGAGAAAAAGAAGCTAGTAGAAGAAGCTAATTCGATCATGTACACTCGAAAGCCAGCTCAAGCTAGCTGCCTAACACTAGCGTAGCCGCACCAACCGGCCGATCGTGCCGGCCGCCGCGTCGCGTCACGGCGCCTCCTCGATGGTGTCCAGCACCGGCCGCCACGACCGGAGCCGCCTCAGCCCGACGGTGGCGCCGCTCGACTTGACGCCAATCGTGGAGTGCCCGGCGGGGGCATCCTGGAGCTGCAGCAAGCCGACGACCGGGAACACCCTGCCGGCGTCGCCATTGCTCTGCCTGGAAGAGGCGCCGCGGCCGCCGCTGCTGTTGTTCCCGCCCCGTCGCCGTCTGGTGGTGGTGACCACGATCCTCCGCCACGCGGCGGTGGCGGCCGTGGCGGCGCCGTGGGAGGCGGCGGCGAGCGCGGCCATCTCGTCGTCGGTGAGCACGGAGTAGAGCATGTCCATGGGGAGGAGGAAGTATGCGCGGCGCGGCTGGAGGAGCTCGTCGGCGGCCACGCCCGGCACGCGGCTGCCGACGGCGAGGCGGCACGCGTCGCACACGAACTTGCCCGGGTGGTCCAGCATGAGCTCGGACGCCCGCACCGGCCGCGCCAGCCGCGTCACCCTCCCGTCCGCGTGGATCACCTTGCATCCCCCGCCGCTCGACGCCGCAGACGCCGAGCCCGGCACCGGCGCCAGCGACATGCACGCCGGCTTGTTCCCCATGAGAGAGGTAGAGAGAGGTGGGGGTTCTTGGACCGCTCTGCGTGCGGGTCAGGTGGTGCGAGAGCGGGGGGTGGGGTGGGAGATCAATGGAGACGGTGTGGGTATATGATCGAGGGAGGAATGGGAGGGGGTGGCAAGTTGATGGTGGGTGATGCATGGAAAAGGACAAGCAAATGATTAGTGTGCTGCAGCTCAGGGGGTTAGGACGGACAGCAGCAGCTCCCTCGCTGAACTTGTGGCCACAGCTAGCTACCACTCTGGCTCTGCTGCGTAGTTTAATTAGCTAGCAATGGCGATGTGGCAGCGGGAGGCAGCCGGACAGCTTGGCGTCGATCGCCATGGACAAAAGCGAGGAGAAAAACAAAGCAGAAAAAGAGGGTTTGATCTAGCTCATCGGCCCGGCCGGCTTAATTATAATTAGCGCAATATGACAGACCATGGTCTTGGTAGGACGTCACTGTAGCACTCGTCTCTCCCCGCAGACTGCGCCGCTTAGAGTATGTGGACGGGGGACGGCGACGACGACGACGACCGGGGAGGGCTTAACAAATTCAGTCCGGCAGCAACGACCTCGCCGTGCTTGCTAGCTAGCTCATAGTCATAACTGAGTTGGACTCCACGAACAATTCAGAGGGTTTATCTATCTTTTTCCTTCCAGACTAGATTAGTTCAAGCAAGGGGGGACGCATCGGGCCATTTCCCTTCTTCTAATTAACTGATGAATTCAATCAGAAGAATAGGATGGGTTCAATCTGCAGAGAGGATCGAGTCACTGTATCTGTCAATCTGCAGATCCATCTCCCTGTCTGTCAGCATCGGTTGACGAGCATGCCTGCTTGTTCGATCGAGTCACAGCGAACGATCCATCACTCGGTAAATCAAAAAATTCAGAGTTGCTCGCCGTCCTTGGGACGTTAATTCGACATTTGGAGTAGACCATGGAAAGATAATACTATCATTATCAACGCCACAGCGGTTGCTTTTGAGTTCAGGCTTGAGAGCCTAACTGAGCATTGAGGTTGATTATGAATTCAATAAAATAAGCGTGATTGGAAATTCCAGCTTCATGAGCAAGTTTGATACGAGTACTATGCATTAGCTTTGCTTTAGCACATCGTGTTCTTCTTTTTCTTTGGTTCCAGCCGTTCTGCTGCTCTAGAAAATTGAACGGACGGGTGGATGTATGGATTAATAATTCGGGATTTGGGGGTTGGGGAGACTTGGCCTGGCTCTGGAGCGGCGCGAGAGCGACGCGGACGGGCGCCAGCTTGGCATTCAACGTACTGGAGCCGGAAATCTCAGGACCTGGCATGTGTATATTTGGTTCTCAACCCATATATTCCCGCAATCTCTGCCTACCTCTG